CTGCAGCTGCTGCAAGCTATGGTGGCGGCTATAGCTCTTATGGTGGAGGGTACGGCGGAGGCTACAGTGGTGGCTATGGTGGCGGTTACGGTGCTGGTTATGGTGCAGCAGCCGGTTATGGTGCCGGCGGCTATGGAGGTTACCCGCAGGCGTATGCTGGTTATGGTTATGGTGGCTATGGCGGCCGCGGCGGCTACGGCTACGGTGGGTACGGAGGCTATGCTGGCTACAATGCTGGTGGTGCTGGTTCTGGTGGCGATGGTGGCGAAGATGGAGGGTATAGCGAAGAAGTGCAGCAGGGTCAGGGAGGTCAACAGAGTACTCAGGTAGGGGTAGCTCCTGGATACGGCTATGGGGGTGGTTATCGCCAAGGAGGTGGCTCAAGCGGTGCTCAAGGGGCTTCTGGGGGACGATCTGATCGATACCGCCCATACTGAATCATGACATGAGAGCGACCGCTGGAGACCGATAAGCTTTGCGCTATATGGCTTTGGAGTCGCATACTAGCATCCTCTGTCCACACTTCAACTAAAAAAATGTACCGGTATGCCATCGTGAACCAGCTGCGTCAGCCTTTTTGCTTTGTCTTTCTTAATGCATACCTGTAGCTTCAAATGATACTCGAATTCCTCACGTTCATTCTTTGATATCGTCGCTAAGATTTTTTTTTGTGCCTTTTCTAGATCCGCTTTTCAAAATCCAATCGACCAGTTGCGACTCATGCATTGAAAGCGTCGATGCTGCAAGGTCCTCCATTGCTCGTTTCAGCTGGTTTTCTTTTGAGGCTATGGACGCCGAATTGGAAATGTTCTGAATTTTAAAGTGATTTTCAAGTGCTACGATCAATTCTTCTGCGCTTATAACCGATCGAAGCTCATTGACTACTCGAGATTGAAGCTTTAGCTGACATAGAATGTCCGCAAAGTTTTCCATGTAAGGACCCATCAACACGTAGCAGCTGTTCAATACAATGAGCTGATGCGGGATTAGAAAACTGTCAATTAACGTACCCTGCACGCAGAGGTTCAATAGGATTGTGTCCACCACGCTTGACAAACGAGCCTAGTAAAATTTAAGTTCGGAAGAAATTTTCATCAATGTCCACATATATTCAAGCCTTACCTCCTATCACAGCGGTAGAAACACAATTATACATCAAGTGTGTTTCATCCTGAAAAGATGCCAATAGAAGTAAGCTACACACCACATGCTCTTTTTGTAAATGTTTGAGATAGGGCACACGTACCATCGTGTCAACAATGAACAAGTCAACATTGTCACGTGGCAAGCTATCGCGAGAGCGTAAGCCAACCACTAATTTAGGAAACTTTCGAGAATTTTTTGTCATTTTTATAAAGAAATAGCCGAAGAACACCAAGACGCATCTTTACCTGTCGGAGGATCTGTTTCACAATAAAAGGCGCCCGATTCGGGTGGCGAGGAACTATCATTGTTAGTAGTCGTCTATTTTGTAATCTCTTTGTCAACTCGATGTGCACTTTCGCCAGCATCAACTCCTCTTTGTCGTGCGTACTGCCTGCGACACATGCTAGTCGATCCCCAATCGCACGCCGTAGAATCGAAGCTTCATCATCGTTGTCAATCGAGCGTGTGGATGCTGTGCTCATATCATTGATGTTCTCAGACTCAAAATTCATTGTTGTTGATAAAGTAGCAGTCGTACCAAACTTTAAGTTAAGAGCCACACCAGCATTTTTTGCTCCTAAGCTTTCAAATCGACGGCATTGCTAAAGACCAAGCAAACATAAGAATTGAAAACAAAGCTGAATAGCGAAACTTGTGTTTGACCTGCTCGTCTTGGCAAAGCACTAAAGAGAACAAACCCACAATGCTTTTTGAAAGATTGTACAAACCCGGTAGTTGCCACAAACGAAGCGACAAAGCTGATATTCGACCATTCACAAGGCCGATGCAAATATCTCTTCGTGCAGCCTCTGTAATGAGTGTGGGCCAGAGTTCAGACTCAATCCAAATTCCTACACTAAAACTCACAAAATATTCAATTATCAATTTATAAATACTCAGGAAAGTTAGAGAGCTATCAAACTTACTTCGGCTTCCAGGTGTCGTAAAATCGCTCGACGCATCGATGGTGGTCAAGAGGGGCCAGGACACAAATGGCGTTTTTGTTCTATCAGTCCGTTTTAACGAGCATCAGAATCACAGACAATGATTTTATAAGGTTTTACAGATAAGATCACCTCCTTTAGCCGCTCCGTGACAACTTGGCGTGCTGATGTTGTTGTTGTTGACACAACTACTCGCACCTTTTTCTCTGGTAGCGATTGACCCAGTTTGGGACTCAGAGCTAAATTCACGATTGGCAACCCTGACAGACACTCTCCTATTGAGGCACCGTGGATCCAGATCGTGAAAAAGTTTTCTTCAGGACTTGCTACCTTCTGGCCTGTACGCCAACACATTGAAACGATGGTAGATCAGACTAGCAGTCAAACAAATGGAATTATACAAACTTATAACCTGGTAGCCCACTGCGACCGAATCGTTCAGCGGTGATAACATGAGGTACTAGCCGCTTCAGATCTTTTCTACGCACATACCATGATATAAGCGGCATTGTAGCTCTCCAAAGGCAATGGTACACGGAAAGAAGAGAGGCTCCCATCATCTGGATCAGCAAATAAATTTATTTGTTTATGCACCACTGTGATGTCAGAGAATGCCCGTAGATAACAAAACATTAAACTGTTGTCCAGAAGGTTATGTACAAATTTTGGTTCACGTACACATTACTTTTGTGCAATTGCTCAATTTCATTTTGTGAGATAGTGCAAAGCACATGGTTTTATCATCGAATATAGTGAAACATTTATATACCTTCTCTCTATACATAACTCTTGATGAGAGAACCAAACTAGGTATCTTGTCGTTATGGAGGCTCTCCTTTCCACTTCGAAGCATACTAACCCATCCTCTGTGCCATCTAATAGAGTCCAAGCATTTCCTGTGCACGATGCACGATATCTTTGCTGCGCTTCGTAGCACATGTCGTCAGTCCGACGACCGAGTCTTGAAAACTGAAAGTCGAACACACATTGATCAGTTTCGTCTCTGCGACAACTAAGCACGCTTTAAAAGCTCAAGTTAGTGTTGATCCGAAGGGAAGACCGACCTGGCGGCCGAAACACAGGTGCAAATATAATGGGCCAAGCCCTATTACACATGTTGTGTGAATCACATACTTTGTATGTCTCACATTCACTGTACACCTATAGTTGTGTATCCCCTTTCACTTCTGTTGTATCTGAACTGGAAAAAAATATCAGGTTAGCGAGGCTCAAAGTCTACTGGCTGTAATAATACATATCACTTCACCTTTCCTCCTCTCTACGTAAGTCAACAGCTCGCTGGAAGTGAGCAACCCGCTGTGAGGCATGACAGCTGGCCTGAGCCTTCATCAGGAAGTGTGTGTAAGCGGACGGGCAATCCATGTTGCACTAGTAGTCATTCCAACGCCAACTATTTCAATGGATTTATCGATGGATAATGTGGACACCACAGACGATGGTCGTCCTCGGATCAACAGGGAAGAGCATTAGTTCCTAGCGCACAGTGCGTGGTGAAGCTGCGAGCCTTTTATCGGAGATCACGCGGTCTTCAGAATGCTTCGATCGCGTATGAGCAAGGATTTTTAGGATTTCTATCGCAATACCTACCGATGCCAGTCCCGTCACCTCCTCCACAAGTGGTGATGACACCGTCGGTACACACGGAACGTCCCGTGGAATCAATGTATAAAGAGGAAACGAAGATAAAATTGTTCCTTGGTAGATAGAAATGGACATCATTATCTCGATGGTTCATTTTCGTGATGACCGCAGTCAAGTAGCCTTTGCCATGTCGCATTTGGATTGCCGTGAGAAGGATTGGGTGATGATATGGAAAGTCAATCGACATGGCTACTTTGTCACATGATAAGAATTGAAGAAGGCCATGGAATAGATGTTCCTCCCACCGAATGTGACGCTTCGATAACGGTCAAAGTTTCTGCCGTGCCGTCAAGACAACGGCATATTGTACGACTACGTACAGAAGCATCGTGAGCTTCGCGCCAGTATGGCAAGTGCATCACTGCTAGAGGCTGTGATGGTCTTCGTGTTTATGGAGGGACTCACTTATAGTTTAAATGAGGCTAAAGTATTCCACCCGAGCTCTACGAATCTGAAAGATGCAATAATTTTTGCATTTCGTGAGACTACTGTCATGTGGTGCTTCTAAAAAGCCGTAACCAATTTATTTGGGCGGCGGTGACTATCCGTAGGCAGCATGTTCGCTATTACACATGTCAGCAATTCGGACACATCCGCCGTGAGAGTCCACGTGAGAGACGTACCTATCAATATGTTCTCGTCGTTATGGTTCCGAGTCACGTACTACCAATACCACGAGACGTTCGGGAAACGCTGAAACGCTGTAGATGCAGGGCAGTTTACTGGGGATGCAATATGCTCTTGTGAGTGTGGTGGTAGAGCCACTCGTGAGTGTTTAGACCTTGAGAGATCGTTGTCCTTCGTAAACGACACGAGTCGGAGTGGTCTCCTTGTGGTTACAGCGAGTATGAAGGAATACGGCCTCGTTTCGAGCCTTGATTGTTTCTGGCGCGTCGCGTTATTACTCGCGGAAGCAAACTATTACTGAAAATGATTCAGTGCTTTCGAATGCACTATACATAAGTAATGGCTGTATATCAGTGAGTCTGGCCACTGGTACTTTGATCACCGCAAAGTAAAGTACATTTGATCTTCAACTGAGGTTTGGAGACTTGAACTTGAAGACATGATTCACAGTTCTCGAGATGAACACCTGATTTTGAATATACCGTGGCTTGAGAGGCATGAGCCATGTATCGATTGGCGATCAAAAACGATTGGGAATAGCTCTCCTGGTGTAGGTGAATCTCTCGGAAATAACAAATCCAAATCCACTATGCACCAGAAGAAGCGCTCAAGCGAACGGCAGTCGTTTGCTGCTGGAAACAATCCACACTACATTGGTATATGTCATGCAATTCACATTCACTAGGCGAGGGAAGGAGGGAAAATACAGAGTCGTACGGAGTGGCCACGGGTGGTCACTCAGGAAGTCTGTCGATGAATCCAGTGGTGCTCGGAACTGGCCACTTAAAAACGAATACTTCGTTGGTGGGCATGGCGATTTGCTTAACAGAAAATATTTATGAGGGAGAGATGCCGGTTGTTGCCCCCCCTCAAGACAAAAAATGTTGTCGACATGTCGACTATGGCTAGATATGCTAACACTCTTACTAATACAGTGGCTGAGTCGAATTATGGGTTGGTGGGTACAACTGACCACAAAGGTGAAGCTCCGACCTGTTGTGGGGTTGGGTACACACATGTGAAGGAATCAACCAAATTTGTTGATCGCGGTACTGATACTCCCACTCTGGATCGGTTGAGTCCGCGGGAGAGTTAGTCCGGCGTAGTACTCCCCATGATGGAAATATAGCATGCAAATTTGCTGGCGCACGTATTGTGCGCATAAAAATTAATTGCAAGCGAATCTTGCAAAGTGTATTTTCGGTGCTAACGAAGCACCGGTCCTGGTTGTTATGTTGGTCGAAATGATGTTCTTGCAGACCCCGAGAAGATCAAAGCAATTTTAGGGTAGCCAACGCCACAGAATAAAGAAAATTGAGGAAATGGATAAGTTTGTCCAATTATCTACATCGTTTCTCGCGTAACCACGCGGAAAGGTAAGTCCACTATTAAAGTTGCTGTATAGGGACATACCGTGGGAGTGGACATCCACTTGTGAAGAAGCATTCACTCATATCAAGGACAGCTTGATGGAAGCAACATTACTTGCTTTATTAGATGACACGAAGTTGTATAGCGTGGTATGTGACGCTTCTGAGCTTGCAATCGGTTGTGTATTATTGCGAAAGAACTCAGAAGGAAATGATCGTGTCGTGTCGCTTCAATCGCGACAGCTGAAGCCAGCAGAAAAATTACCCTGTCCACGACAAAGAGCTTCTGGTAATGAAATATGCTCTTGGGTTCAATTCCGTTTATCGTCTACACGGATCACCCAGACTTGCGTTATGCAGTTCAAACGCCTCACTTGTCACAGTTGGTAGTCTTTCTTCGCCGAATATAACTTTACGGTCGCATACGAGCCAGGAAGACAGAACGTGCTGACAAGCGCATTGTCCCGTCGTGCTAGCCCATACCAGCTATATCGAAAATGATGTATTCGATACGAAGCTTCGAACGTATGTTGAGGATAAACAATCCGATCATCAGAGCACTGTCATCGAATGATATGAAATTCCATGATAAGCTTTCTGGTCGCTTGAAATCAAGGTTGCATCGTTATGCACGAAAGGATGGTCTCTTTCACTATGAAGTTGCGCATGAAAACGAGCCATGGTTTGCGGTATCCCACAACGATAATTTGAAGTACAAAACAGTGTACGAGGCGCATGATACGCTGGCTGGTCACTTCGGCCGTAAGAAGACCAACCAGTCTCTCAGTGTCCAATTTTGGTGGTCACACATGTACAAGTGGGTGGCGCGATACGTGAAGACATGTGATGTCAATCAGCGTGTGAAGAGCGCACAACACACCCTAGCGCCACTGCGAAGTCTTCCTGTTCCAACTGACTGTTGGAAGGCAGTCGGTCTCGACTTATCGTCGGCTTCTCGCTGATGTCCACAATGACAGACTCAGCAAGATGGTTCGCATCGCGCCTTGTAGCGATTCCATCGATGCCGGAGGTTTGACTTAACTGTTCATTAAACACGTTTTTGCAATCACGGGCTACCGAACGCCATCGTCTCTCATCGTGATACTTGATTCACGACTATAGAAAAGAATTATTCCGAATTCTTGGCACTCGCTTGGATATGCTCACGGCGGTACACACGGAGACCGATGGGCAAATAGAACTTGCCAACCGAGTGGTCGATGATGTGTTGAGGAGCTTCTGTACGGAAAATCTCGCAGTTGTTACCATTGGTTGAGTTTGCTATGAACAATTTGGTTCATTCATCCGCTATATTCACGCCATTTTCTATGAATGGCTTGCGATACCCGCAAGTACCTCTTTGTGCGATGGGTAGTGGCTTTCATGTAAGTGGGGGAGGAGTTCGGCAAATCGTTGCCTCTCAAATTGCTACAATCAATGGTGCGAATATGAAGCGCAAGTACAAGAACGCCCTGAACTTATTCATCATGAGTCGTGTGAATGTGATCACACGGGTGCGAGACGCAATAGAAAATGCGCAAAGGAATATGCAGATATACGTGGTCGTAAAGGCGTTATCGCTGGGGATTATGTACTACTCAGTAATAAGAACTTATGAGACGGTGCGATCTCAAGCTTGGGAAGCTCGATGCTATTACCTCGTTTCGTCGGTCCATTCCTAGCCGTGTAATGCCATGGGAATGCTTACACTATCGATCAGCCAAACTGACTAAGGATTCATTCAATGCATTCGGTAGGGCACCTCAAGCCCCGAGGCTATTTCTAACCTGGGAGTAACGCCTTCTTATTCGAAAGTGGCTTTAGAGCCACGGCTTCGGCACGAGGGTCGC